GACCCTGTGTGGCCAGGCCTTCTGCTCCTGGTGACTCTGGGACCCTGTGTGGCCAGGCCTTCTGCTCCTGGTGACCCTGGGACCCTGTGTGGCCAGGCCTTCTGCTCCGGGTGACCCTAGGACCCTGTGTGGCCAGGCCTTCCGCTCCGGGTGACCCTGGGACCCTGTGTGGCCAGGCCTTCTGCTCTCGCAGGCCTGTGTCTGCTTAGTGCTTGCACACTTCTGTGGACCTTAAAAGGGCGAGTGGGCGTCGGGGCCATTGCCTCCTCACCAGCCTGCGTGACCCTTCCTAATGAGACGGTGGTCAACACACAGAGGACAGCACGCAGGCCCGGCACAGACGGGCGTCGGCCTCAGGTGAGGCACCACGACTCATGTCACGGTCAGTGCTGAGGCCCACCACTCCAAGGTCACCCTAGGATCTCAGGGACCAGCACCCAGAGAAAGGAGCAAGACTCAGGTACCAGGGTGAGGGCTTAGTGATCAGAGCAAGTACCCAGTGATGATCAGGACCAGGGCTCTTCATTAGGATCTGTGATTAGGACCACAGCCCAGGAATTAAATTCAGGGTTGACTCAGTCATCAGGATAGGACTCATTTATCAAACCAGGCTTCTGTGATCAGGAGCAGGGCTCCATAAGCAGGATGGAGGCCTGGTGATCAGGACATGAGTACAAGGATGAAGATATGGGCCAGTGATAAGGACCAGGGTCCAGTACATTAGGATTAAGGCCTAATGATCAAGATCAGGCCTTGGTAACCAGGAGCAGGGCTCGGTAAGCAGGATGGAGGCCCACTGATCAGGACCAAGAATTCAATGACCAGGATCAGAGCCAGGATTAGTTATTAAGACCAGGATTGAATGATGAGGACCAGGTCCTGTGATCAGGACTTGGGCCCATTAGTTTGGACGTGGGCTGTGTTCACTGTCTAGGCAGTACGTACACACACACACACACACACACACACACACACTCTTCTGCTCAGAACCCTCTCTTTGTGCCTAGAGGTATGGCCCAGTGCTTGGAGCTGGTGTCCAGCCATAGAGAGCTGGGCCCACTGACTGGAGGCCTGAGCAGAGTTCCCAGGGGGCGTCCTCCTGGCCCTGCTGCCCTGGGGACCACACGGAGCCCCAGGCCGCAGCCTCAGGCAGGACCAGGCCATCTTAGACACTGAACCGGGGACTTGCTGTCCTGCTTGGACACCTGCGTGCTCCAGGCAGGGTCACCCGACTCCCCAAACTCCCCCTTCCCTTATCTGAGAACCTTTGCCTTTAAAAGACTGCGAGCATTTGTGTTTGGCATGGATTTATTGCACAGGAAGGAGTGTGTGTATGTGGGGTGACTTGCGGGGCTCAGCTCTTACATGGAGAGGGCTCTTCCGGCCTTCTTCCCTGTGAAGACAAGAGGGCCAGGGTCTGAGGGCTCCTGCGGGTAGGCAGGTTCCTCCGGGGCCCGTCCCAGGCCCTGCTCCTCATGGGAGACTGGGCTGAGTCCTCAAGTTACTGCACCCGTGGGAAGCCCCTGCCCTGACCGCAGGGGCCCATCCTCAGTGCTGCTCTTCCCCAGGAGGCCAGAGGCCCCTGTGCTGGGGAAGGTGGTTCCCTTCTCGGAGTTGAGCACCCCCTGCCACCCACCCTCTCCTCTCCTCCCCCACCTGTTCCCTGCTGCTCCTGCTCAGTACTGGGGGTCCTTGCTGCCCAGGGGGCCTCGCACACTTGTCACCGTGAGCGCCGTGCTGTAGAACAGGCTGAGCAGGAAGAGGGTGAGGAGGGTAACGGTGGTGGGCCACAGGCTGGCCCCTGGGGCTTCCTCCTCCAGGCTGTCCTGCGGCTGGTCCAGCAGCACCCAGGGAAGAAGCTCTTTACATGCTGTAAGACATTCAGGGCCTGTCCAGCCAGACCCAAGTGGGCATCAGCTGGAGCTGGAGCCCTGCCCTCGCTTGGCTCTGGGGTCGGGACAGGGATGGTGGGAGTTCCCTATCTCAGGCTGGAGACTTGCCTCAGGAGGACAAGGGGGCAGCTTTAGGTCAATGTCTGGGCCTTGCTGCTCTTCAGAGGGCCTGGGTGAGAGTCCTGCGGGACGGGAGTGTGGACGCAGCCTTCACAGCCCCAGCAGGGGCTGAGCCCAAGGCTGCCTGGTCAGGCGCTTGGGTGGCCCTGAGCGTGATCCTGGTCCATAAGGGACCAGACACAATCTCAGGGAGATGTGAGCCAACAGAGTTCTGAGTGAAGGGTTAGTTGGGTGTGGACAGAGAACTCTGCTCCATTCCCAGGAAATGGCTGGGGGATGACCATAAGGCCAGGTGAAGGCCACCTTGCAGTCTCCGGGGACCTAGGGTGTAGACTGTCCATATTAAGTGTGAGTCAGACCTGCTGGTCATATGATACTATATCCAATCATTCATCCTCCTTTCTATTCATCACCCCCCACATAAAGCTATCATCCATTTGTCTATCCATCCATTTACCTATCAATTCATACTCGCCTACTCATCGACCACCCATCTATCCATCCATCCATCATCCATCCTTTTATCCATCCATCCATCCATCCATCATCCATCCTTTTATCCATCCATCCTTCCATCCATCCATCCATCCATCCATCCTTCTATCCATCCATCTACCACCCATCCATTCTTCCATTCATCCATCCATCCATCCTTCTACCCATCCATCATCTGGCTACTCATCTATTTAGCCACCTATCTGTCAATCATACGTCCTGTGAACCATCTGCTGATCTGCCTTTTCTCAACTTGAAAGTTCAGTTCTACTAATTCTCCTTCCTTCCCCTTCTCTAGAAAGCTCCTCCTCTGAGCCAGCCTCCGGGCCCCACGAGGTGGCTGGACTCCGAGGTCCTCTGGGGTAGGATTTCCTCAGTTGGTTGACTGATTTCCTTACTCCCCTGGGTGACTGGACTCTCAGAGGGGATAACAGTGCTCAGGGAAGTGGGTCTCTACCGTGGCCCAGAGGGCAGAGGGCACAAGTGGGTCTCACTCCACTGTGGAGGCTCCCTTGGGGAGCTTCTGAGGCGTCTGAGACAAGAGCAGGCCCCCACTGCCCTCTTGTGGGCACCTGGTGCCCGCGGTCCTGCAGGTGCTGTGGGATGGTTTTCTCTGCTCTTGGGAACAGAACTGAGGAGAAGTCTGCAGAAAGGTCCCTGTAAGAGAGGCCAAGCCTTACCCTGCTCTGTCGATGGCTTAGGGAGGGAAGGGAGACTTGATCTGTGGGCCAGGCAGGGCACTGAGGCCACTGGGGGGCTCTGTGGAATTGTCCCTTAGCTGAGCGTAGAGAGCTGGACCCACAGGAGGACCGGGAAGGGCCTGGGGCCTGGGGTCTGGGCAGGGACGACCCTGGGCTTTGTGGAGCGCTGAGTGCGCTGTGTGCTTCCTGCAGCACCTGCAGGGCTCGGGTGTGGTGAGTGTGTAGATGTGTGTGTGCACCGTGCCATGTGCATGTGTGCCGGCCTGGTGTGGGGCTGGGCAGGCTGTGCCCACATGGTGGCCCCTGTCCGGGAGCATCTCCAGCACTCTGCACTGCTGTAGCTTCCCTCTGAGGACAGGCGGCCCTCCTTCCTCCTGGTGCCCCTGGAGTCCAGCCCGTGACCTCTCACGCCCTCCCTCACCCTTCCGGCCTGCAGCTCAAGTAGCAGTCTAAGATACAAATGGCCTTGTCACTGCCCACTCAAGAACCCGTGGCCGGTGGACTCTCAGCGCTCGCCTGGGCTGTGCTTGCTCTGTGGGTTTCACTCCCGGCTTGCACACTCACACCGCCATAGTGCACTCACACACAAGCACACCTGCATGCACACTCACATCTGTGCATACTCAGGGACACACACAAGCAGGCACACACAGGTGCTCACATGTGCACACAGTCACAAGCATGCACACATGCAGACACACTCACAGATGCACACACCAGTACGCACACTCAGGCACACAAGGTGCACTCACAAGCACACACAAGCACACAGTTACAAGTATGTAGATATGTAGGCACATATTCACGAGCACACACAGTCACAAGTATTCATACATTCACAGGCACACAGATGGACACAAGCATGCACACTAACAGGCATGCACAGACATAGTCATAAGTGTGCACACTGAGGTGACACAGTTACGTGTGTGCACACACCCATGAACATGTGCTGCAGATGGGCCCTCCACGGTGCCTCGGGCAGAGGGCGCCCTTGCTGGCCCGGGCTCCTCCCAGCGTGTGTGTGTGTGTGTGTGTGTGTGTGTGTGTGTAGACCCAGGGGTGATGGACATGCTAGATGGATGGGCAGAGCTGCTTTGGAGGAGGATGGAGTTTATTTGAGGGTGGGCTCTGGCAGGGCGGCTTAGTAGCAGACGCTCTCCACGTCGGCCACGACCACAGACACATTGACGTGAGTGGGATTACCCATCTGCTGGTTGATGGTCTTCTGGGTGAAGCCGGTGGGCAGGGACTCGTGGCCCACCACGCAGGAGAAGTTGTCGCCCTGCTTCCAGGCCGCAGCCCCCACGCGCAGCACGCTCACGGCCGTGAAGGTGGTGGCCCCCTGCTCCGGCTCCCGGAGGGACCCCCACACCAGGAAGCTGCTCCTGGGCACCTCCTGGTTGCTGTGCAGCCAGCGCACCAGCAGCTCCTTCGGGCTGAAGCCGCGCACCAGGCAGGTCAGGGTCACCAGCTCGTTCAGGGGTAGCTCTTCTGCTGGCGGCGGCAGCAGATGGACCTGGGGCCGGAATTTGTTCCCTGGAGGGCAGAGAGGAGGGTCAGGGGTCTGAGCAGGAGGGGAAAGAGCCCCCTGTGTGGCCCGGTGCCCTGAGTTTGCCCTAAACTTCCTTATGTAGCCTCAGTTTCCCTTTGTGGAATGGGTGTGGGGGGAGGGTAGAGGGAGGAGGGAGGAGTGGGGGGAGAGAGGAGGGAGGAGGGAGGAGGGGGGAGGGAGGGGGGGGGAGGGAGGAGGGGGAGGGGGGAAGGAGGGGCTGGCACTGCAGAGTCTGGTCAGTGCCCGGGCTGGGCTCACCTAAGTCCTTGGTGATGGAGAGAGTCTGGGGGGCGGGGAGCTCAGTGTGGTTGACGGTGCATGTGAAGGTGTCCCGGCGGTTCCAGGGCTCCGCACAGCCGGGCAGCACGCTGGTCACACTGAAGCAGCCACAGGACTCTGGCTTAGGGGCCTCCTGGACGGGGCTCCTCTCGCTGGGGGACTGCCAGGTGAAGGTGGCTCCCTCAGGGTGTTTGAGGCCGCTGAGTGTACACCTGAGGCTGGCATCGGAGCCCAGCAACAGGTCCTCCAGGGCCGGCGGGTGCAGCGTCAGCTTGGGCTGGCAGCATTGTTCACACGGAGGGGGTGGGGGTATTGGGTCTACTGTCACGAGAGAAGCTCTGGTCGGTCATCCGGCCCCGCCCCCTGCCCTGCCC